TATGATCGTACACGATGCTCATAAGCGAACGAATCAACGTAAAGAATTTTGATATTTTGAATCGACAATTGAAAATAATCCGAATTTTTGCCGAAAATGTCACATAACACACCACCTGGTGGACATTTTTGAATTTTTTTCCATTCTGACTTCGAATCCGGAAAGGTGAGTCTCTTACCTTTCCATCGACGTATAAATCATTGTTGTACCTTCCAGATGGCCAGAAAAATGTCCGATTGATGAAAAACTCAAAAAGGGCCTCCCAAAAATTTTCGACCCCAGACCCGAGAGACATACGAGACGAAATCGAAAATTTTAAAAGCACATTTATTCTCATTTTTCCGTCTACTTTCAAAAAAAATTGGTTTCAAAACTTTTTTTCAAAAACTACGAAAAAAAGGAGACATACAAACACCCCAAGCGACCAATTTTGAGGTTTTTGGCCATTTTTGGCGAATTGACCATATCTCGTCCACTTTTCAACCGATCGTGATGATCTTTTTTTCTAACAATATCTACGCGGTCCCAAGATTCCGAATATGGCCATATTTTTTTTTCGAAAAAATAATTTCGGTGGTCAAAAAAAAAAAAACGAATTTCCAGCCATTTTTTCAAAATGCCACCTGGCGGCCAAATTTTGAATTTTTTTAATTTTTTTTGCGGATTCTTAATTTGGTGCCCGATCACTACTAAAATATGTAAAAAACCTATTCCAAAAGTCAGCGGTATCGATTTTCATTTCTTTAACGTATATATAGAGTGACGCAAAATATGCATACACCCTCCAATTCAAAAGTTCCGAGACTTTTGAAAAATAATAGATACCAGTGGCGCCACCTACAGGATATTATATGCGTTAGAAAGGTACTTGCCCCACTGACATTATGTCCAAGTTTCGTGAGGATCGGATGTAAACATGTCAAGATATTGCGTCTTATTTTTTAGTATCTTTTGCTCTCGGTGACAAAATGAATTTCAAACAAAAAATAATCAACTTTTTTCATTTGTCAAACGATTCTGCTACGACATCCCCGACATCCATACTCTGAAGTCTCTTTATTATGCTCTGGTGCAATCAATTCTTGAATATGGCAGTTTAGTGTGGCTACCATATCATTCTATTCACAAAAACAGAATTGAATCATGCCTACGTCAATTCACAATGTTCGCACTGAGAGAATATCCTAATATTTCAAACGACTTCAAAATATCATCCTATAGCACTCGTCTTAACAAACTCAATATGCAATCACTTCAAAGGCGCCGTATAAATGCATCAATTTTATTTATATTCGATTTGCTGCATAAAAACATTCATTGCCCATCACTTGAAACGGAAATCACTCTCAATCAAAACGAACGTAACTTGAGAAGTGTCGAGTATATCAAAATCAACGACAAACTATTACGAATCAATCCATCTGTACCTCTCAATCAAATGTGCAGAATGTCAAATAAAGTCCACGATCTTTTCACAACGCAATCAAAAAGATCAACATTCAAAAATCAACTTTTAGCTTTAAGCGACGATAATTTTTCTAACTCGACATTGGTATCTAATTATAATACTGTTTTCTTAAACGACCAAATGTGACCTATTGTGATATTTTTTGAATTTTGTAATTTTTGTTTTTTTTTTAATTATTTTAATTACTTTTATGACTCTTGTACTCGAGTGCAATCCGAAAATTTTAATTTTCAATCATTTATCTATTGATCCAATTTTCTTCTTTGTGATATTGGAAATTATATTATAAATCTATTATCGAAAAGATGTGGTTTTTAACGGTGATTGGATGTACTATGCATCATTGTATCTTACCTTTTTCCCACTAACACATGTATAAAAATTTGTACAAACTCAAACTAATTCAGCCAGTTTTGGCGGTGAATAAATATTATTATTTTGTGATAAATTTTGAAAGTTTTAACGAATTAGATATTTCAAAAACCATTTTATTATGATTGCTCATGCTGTCTATAAGCTAAAAAAACTAAGACACGAGATCCTATATCGGTACATGCTTCTCATATCGACATCTTTGGAAAAAGTCAAATTTTCAAGATATTCTCATTTCGTGGACCAATTTTATGTGAATTTCGTGGAACCGATCATCGAATCTTTTGCTCTGATGAGCCTAATATTAACTGAGGACCTATATATTGAATAATCCATAACGATTATTGCAGATAGAGTCTCTAGAACATGAAATAGACAGTAAGTCACTTTTTCACGATATTGCTCTTGCTCATTTTTCAGTCATTTGTCAACAAAAAAACTATAATGTACATTGCACAATTCTCAATTTTCGCTTGAGATATCTCGTATGGCTATCCTCTTTCCAACGAGTGCATTTGCCGATGAGAACGAGACGATATAACTATTCTGTGTTCAATTTTCGGCCTTGAACCGAGCCTTGAATATACTAAAATATCTGACGCAATAACTTGGCTGTCAGTGATCCGATCCTCATGAAACTTGGACATAATGTCAGTGGGGCAAGTACCTTTTTAACGCATATAATATCCAGTAGGTGGCGCCACTGGTATCTATTATTTTTCAAAAGTCTCGGAACTTTTGGATTGGAGGGTGTATTTCATATGTATGTTGGTATTGCGTCTTATAATATCGTTTTTCTTTTCTTCGTGTGTGTACAAAACAGTGAATGGAAATTTGGAGTAAAGTCTTACATCGAACGATTTTCCTTTGAAGTGACACAAATCGAGTGAAAAATAAATAAATATAGAGTTCGTGGGAGGGAAGGAGAGCAATCATGGAAAACGGATATTGTTTATTCAGAATCAAAGATCAAAAATGCGACACAAAAACAAAAAAAAAATCCAATGCACTTTCTCTGTATATATAAACGCGACATGACATTTTTGCGATTGGTTTTTTTGTTGTTCTTTTTCGATCGATAAGACTTTGCAGGAAATTATTAAAAATGAAATGAAAAAAAAGAATAGAAAATGGAAATAAAATGAGTGAGGTTGCATCGACTCTACTGTATGAACTGTAACCAATCGCTTTCATGTTGATTGTTGAAATTTAAAAAGAATCGTTGCGTTAGCAGCTAAGTATTGATGTGCATGCTTTCTATTAAAACCGAATTTGCAAGAAGTTTTATGCTATAAAATATTAGTTCGATGAGCCATAATTGAAACAAAATCGGATTGAATCTGGTGCGGTTTAATGGAATTTCAAAGAATATAAGATGAAATCAGAGACTTCTTGCATACTTTAAGCGTCGAATCAATTCAATTGAATTTTTTATGCCAAGAAATAGAGTCTTTAGTCGCATCGCATATTACAGCCCTCTTGAGATTCGTGCTAATGATATTTGGTTGTGTTTCAAGTAGTTCAATAGAATGTTGTAATGAAGTTGTCAGTATGCTTGATTTAAATGCAACATCAACATCACTAATTAAAATTACATTTAAAATGAGAAATGACGAGAACGAGGAAGTATATGCAATGTACATCGAATGCGTGTGTGTATTTTCTTTTTCTATTCGGCTTTTATCAGCATACGGTAGATTGGAAGTGACTGTTGGTTTTAATTATAAACTTGGTGCATTTGTTTGCGTTCGATTCGGTTCGCGAGAGAGTGAACAACATGGACTGCAGCCATCTATATAGTAAAATTGCATACAAATTGAAAATCAATGCGACGAACACAAAAACTCTCAACTCAATTTCATTTGTTATTGCGAGAGTGAGAGCGAAGAGAATTAACGGTAATTGCTTGAAAATCACATTCGAGAAACGAGAGAGATTTAATGAGTCGGTTTCAACGGCGTGGATTTACACCTACTTAAAATGCTGTTAATTATTTGCAAACATTGTACTCTCCGATAATTCGATAAATTATTCAAGTGGCAATAAATATAGCCCGGCTTCTATTTGCATTCGCATCGAATCGAAATATACATCAATGATCCACTACAAAAAAAAATGAGACACACACAGAGAGAAGACATTTAAACTGCACAACAAGCATTCGTTCAACAATCATAGGAGACCGATTTAAAATTCACTTTGCGTTTCATTGTGCCAACAATATGGGAATGCAAACGAAAATTTACCGCTTTGTTAACTACAGAACACTTGTTATCAACACTCACATATATTACCAACAAAAATATTGATTTGATTGAGGAGCGAGTGTTCCGCACATATTTTTAGTGTTATTTAAACGCTCAACGGGAATGTATATAGAAAAGACGTGATGCGATTCAATGAATGAAAACAACCGACGTCGAACTAAAAATATTTTTTTGTCTTGCAAAATGTTTCGCTGTTTTTCGAGGAATGTTCGGCATTGTGCGGCACATGAGAAAAAAAACAAACATATATAAAATTCCCGATTGAGTAATTCAGATTCGAGTATCACGAACAAATGCCATTGATTATGTTATATTTCTACATAGAGAAATGGAAACGACAACAGCAGTCAAGCGCTATACATCAACACGTTTATCATTTTGATTTCAGAGCGCACATAAAAGATTTCCCACGCCATTGTTTTCGGCACACTACTGATTCGTAAGCAAATATCAAAAAAAGTGTGAACTAAATAAACTAGAAAACTTCTCTGTTTATTGCTGTTTAGTCAAATGCCAACAGAAAATATGTGTGACCGAGCGGAGCAGCTAAATGAGCATAAAACAAGTGCTTCGAAGGAATTATGATCAAACAAAGAAAAAAACACATAACAATAAATAAATCGAAAGTGGACTCAACTCGTCTACAGCAGAGATTCGTTCAATGAGCTCGCCGCATTTTGAATGTCACATAAATCTATTTTTAAATTCACGAGATTGAGATTTGTTGGTGTTTCGGTTTTTGCCTTGGTTCTGTTTGGTTTAGACAGCTTATTCGTCATCTTAGCCGTTTATTTGATGCATCTCGTTCACATTCGGAAATCATTTTCTTTCAATCGTGAAAGTGAAATTGAAATGTCGAACAAAATGATCGGAATAGCAGCATTCGCATTGTATTTGCAAATTTAGTTAGTGCCAAACCATCGACGCGTCAACCAATTCAGTCTCCGAATTGGTCGGTTAGTTTCGTTTCGTGTTTATTCAATTTTCATCGAAAATGGTCATCGGGTTGTCACTTTCAGACAATTCACATAAATCTTTGTGGTCGCTTCATTTCGGCGCTTGAACATTGAAAATTGAGAGAGATTTTATGAATGTTGAAAAAAAGTATTCGACAATAATATCCAGTAAAGTATGAAAATCGTTTGGTTGTTTCGATAGAAAGTGAAAATAAAAATGATTTTATTCTAGCGATTGATATATATTTAGTAGTTGTTCATTACATTAAACTGAGATATATTTCTACGAAAATTGAACATAATAATCCCCATTAAATGGCAAATTCAATTTACATTTGCAATTTCAATATTTGATGCGTTTTTTTTATAATTCCAATGTTTACTGTTAATGTAGTATTCAAAAATGTATATTTTTTGAGTTCAGTGACAAAATTTTAATGCTTTTTTTCAGTGGTCTCATCCGGTCGAATGATAGTCGTCGTTTTTTTTAATTGAGTGCTAGAATTTTTGTATGCTACACATGCCATACGATAAAAAATGAAGTGTGAGTTTTGCGGTGAATCGGCAGCATTGAAATGTGGTGGATGCAAAATCGTTTATTACTGCGATGCGGAGCATCAGAAATTGGATTGGCGAAAAGGACATAAATCTAAATGCAAATGCTACGAGGTATTATCTTTCAATCGCAGCATTCATAATAATTGTGCCATTTTATCAATTCAAATTGTAGATATCCGAATGTGAGATAATCGGTCGATATATGCGTTCGACGCGTATCATCAAAGCTGGTGAAATAATTTTATGTGAAAAGCCGTTGGTGTATGGTCCAAAAATAATAAGTGCCCCGATTTGTTTGGGTTGCAATAAATATGTGAAATCGCAAGAAATTCAAATAAATCAAATATCGATTCCCGGAAATCGTGGCCGAAATCAAAAGCCAAAAGTGAAAACCGAACGAAATTTTTACAAATGTTCGACATGCAAGTGGCCAATGTGCAATGAGGAATGCGAAAAATCAAAAGTGCACCTGGCCGAATGCCAACTAATGGCGGAAAAGAAATTTCAGTGCAGTATCGATTACAATGCGCAAGATGAAAATCGAAAAGAATCCGCTTATTGTGCAATCTTACCGCTACGATGTTTGCTGCAGAAAAAGAACAACGATAAAGAGTAAGTACACATACTGAATTGCAAATCATGCATACGATTTTAGCTTATAGTTTGAACATTTCAATTTCAAAGCTTAGTGCATCTATTTTCATATGAATTGCACATTTTACATGATTGCCCGAGAATGAGTGTGATACTTCTCCTGAGAATTTATTGAAATGTAACACCGGCTGTGTTATATTGGATGGCAGTATTACGTTTCAATAAACTCTCATGAGAAGTCTCACATTCAGTCTGGGGCATTTACAGCACGAAATTAAAATGATTTTCTCGTATTCTGTTTGTTTTTGCACGAATAGATTTGCAAAATTTTACGAATTGGAAGACCATCTGAAAGAGCGGATCAAAACGCCGATTTACAGTGTGCTGAAATCAAATCTAATCACATTCTTCAAAACGATTTTATCGCTTGACGAATTCGATGAGATGACGATACTGAAAACAGCTGCTATTTTAGATACCAACGCTTTTGAAGTTCGCTTAGTCAACGGAAACAGTAAAATTCGTGCAATTTATGCTACCACAGCGATGATGTCGCATGACTGTGTGCCAAATAGCTATCATAGTTTTGATGAAAATATGCAAATTTTCATCCGAGCTGCCAGTAAGTAGTAATCATTATACAGTGTTTGTTTCTTTTGTTTTTGCACCAATCGAAATCAATTGCATTTTATTGTCATCACCACACACACATGCACATCCACAAAAAAAAAAAAAATCCAGTTGACATTAAAAAAGGTGACGTGATTTCGTTGTCATACTGTCAACCCTTGCAAAGTACAATGCAACGACGCATCTATTTGCGACACAGTAAATGCTTCGATTGTCTTTGTCAGCGATGTCGGGACCCAACCGAATGTTCAACATTTATCGGTTCGTTAGTATGCCACATATGCAGAGAGGCCAAATTGTTACCAGACGACCCGTTGAACGATAAATCCGATTGGAATTGTGAGAATTGCTCGTTTCAAGTGACCGCTACTAATTTTCAATTCATTCAAAATCGACTTCAATTTGCAATTGAGAACCTTCCAAAGCAATCACCATACGACTTTGAAACGTTTTTGGAGAAATACTGCTATCGACCAAAGCACATGACCAACGGCACCCAGGATGATTTGAATGCTGAAATTTTGCTGCATGAGCAAAATACATTTGTTCTGCAAATCAAATATGCATTAACGCAATTATATGGGAATGTCTCTGGTTTCCTATGGGACGGTATGAATTACATAGTCATTACATAAATGAAAAACTTTTTCATTTTACTTTGTGTTTTTCTTCTCTTGTTTTTCATTTTTTCCTCTTTAGAAATCGGCGACACTGACTTGGATCGGAAAATTAGCCTATGCAGAGAATTGTTAGAAGTGGCGGAAATACTTGAGCCAGGGAAAAGTGTATTTAGGGGTAGATTACTTATTGATTTACAGGAAGCGCTCTTCGTGCAAACGGAACGGCTAATAACTAATCGAGAGATTTCATCTATTGTGGCCCATGTTAGTTTTTAAATTTGCCACATGTGAAGATAACATTAAAAAATTCATACAATCCATTATTACTGTATTTTCAGGAACGGTTTAACGACCAATTGAAGCTTTTAAACGAGGCAAAGGGCATTTTTGAGCATGATTCAACCATGCTACCAACTTTGAAAATGCGCTTCGAAAATATTATGTCAAAATCATAGAATAGACAGAATTGGTTTCAAATAAAATTTCATAAAAACGTTTATGGTGTGGTAATTTAAATAAAATGGAAACAGCAAAGGTAGTATTGAATAAAATTCTAAGGGTACTTCAAAATGCTGCTTTATATAGTAATTCCATATTTATAGTAAGCGAATCCACTCACGGTAAGCTAATGAATGCCAAAATTTCAATTATGCAATCAAAATACAGGGTGAAACTCAAGTAAGTGCAAATTGTACTTCCACTTCTTCGTTGAACCCAACAGAGTGATAAAATCTGTAAACATTTTCACGACAAAAGCCATTTTACAATGATTTTAGTTGTCAATACTAACACACAATTTTATAATTGACTTAAAACTGATATTATTTTGGACGGAACTGAGTTAGCCTGTCTGCCTGCCCACGGTGGAAGTTTATTAGTCCTGCTGGTTAGTCAAAAGTTCACATTGACCGAAATAGTGTTCGATGAACGATATATTTATTCAAATGGCGTATGACGGAAAATTGTCCAAGAGAAGGAATCTGTGAGATAAATGTCAACATTCACCCTGTATAAATTGCAAGCATTCACGTTTTCAATTTTAACTGGAAATTTGCATTTAATCCAATCGTTCTATGGCTCATCTCTTCTTCATTCGTTCGCTTTTGTAATATTTTTTATTGCGAAATTCATTATGCGATGATTTGTTTTTTGTGGTGCACATCATATGAGCAATGTTAAAGAAGTGGCCTTTTGTTTTAATTTATCGATATATAACAGCTCTGGATGATTAATGATATACCGAACCATATTTATTTTATTCACGCTCGTTAAAAGCAGAAAAAAGCATTTTTGTGCTATTTTCCAATGAAAATATTTTTCCATTCCATCGGAATTTAAAAAAAATGTAAATTTCCACTTTTTTTCAAACAAGATTGTGTATTTTGATAAATATTTAATTGCACTGCAATCCATTTCTGCTCTTAACTAATTTAGTATAAATCCATATATTGGATCGAAGATAATATTAATTTTGGGTGTTAAAAAAAGTTTCAAACACAAATATTCGATACAAAAAAGTTCATTCGT